CAAACCCTTAACCTTGAACCCTTGACTCTACACCCTAAACCCGTAAATCCATTAACCCCTAAACCCCTAATCCCGTAACTTCCTAGACCCGTAAATCCCTAAACCCCTAAGCCCCTAAAGTCCTAAACCCTAAACCCTGAACCTTAAACCCTAAACCTTGAACCCTTAACCCCTAAACCCCTGAAGCCCTAAACCTCTAAATCCCTAAACCCCTAACCCTGAAACCCCTAAACCCTAAACCTTGAACCCTCAACCCCAAACCCTAAACCCTACACCCCAAACCCTCAACCCGAAACCACAACCCCTAAAGCCGCAACTCCTGACCCCTAAACCCCTAAACCCTAAAGCCTTAAAGCCCTAAACCCCTAAGCCCTCAAGCACCTGAACCCTTAAACTCCTAAACCCCTAAACCCGTAAACCCTTAACCCTCAACTCAAAACGCTAAACCCTAAACCTTAGACCCCAAATTCCAGTCCCCTCAACCCCTAAACCCCCGAGACCGTAAACCTGAAAACCTAGAAAATCGAAACCCATAAACCCTAAACCTCTAAACTCAAACCCCTGAACCCTGAATCCCTGAACCCTAAACCCCTAAACCGCTCAACCCTCGACTCCTGAACCCCTAAACATCAAATCTCGAAACCCCTCAACCTTAAGCCCCAAACCCCAAACCTGAAACCCTTGAACCCTTAAACTTCAAAACCCCTGGACAACTAAATCCCTTAACCTCTAAACCCCCGAACTCCTAAACCCTAAACCCTAAAACCCAAACCCTCAACCCCAAACCTTCAAACCAAAAACCTAAACTGCAAACCCTGAAGCATGAGCCCTAAACTCGACACCCTAAACCTCTAGACCCCTGAACCCCTAAACCCTTGACCCTTAAAGCCCTAAATCCATTAACCCCTAAACCCCTAATCCCGTAACTTCCTAAACCCCTAAATTCTACTAAACTCTAACCCTACTAAACCCTTAACCCTAAACCTTAAACCCTAAACTCTAAAACGTAAACCTTAAACCCCTTAACCCCCAGACACCTAAGCCCCTAAACTCCTAAATTTGTAAACCCCTAAACTCTTAATCCCCACTAAACCGTTCTAGCCGTAAGCCGTAAACCCTAAACCCTTAGCCCCAAAGCTTAAACCCGAAATCTCAAGCCCTAAGCCCTAAACCCTTAAACCCCTAAACCCCTAAACCCCCAAATCCCTAAACCCCTAAACCCTGAACCGCAAAGCCTAAACCCTAAACCCTGACCCCCTTAAACTCCCAAACGCCTAAACCCTCAAACTCTTTAGGCCCCAAACCCCCTTAACCTCTGAACCCTAAACCCTCTTAACAACTAAACCCTAAACCCCAAGCCCTAAACTTTAAACCCTAAACCTTAACCCCTAAACCCCTAAACCCCTCAAGCTCTAAACCCCTTTACCCCAAAACCCCTATAGCTCTTAAACCCCTAAACCCAAACTGCGTAGTTAGTAACCCTACAGGTTGCAATTATTGCGTTCTGTAGCCTCTGCATATACTAGGGTCACAAAAACCCTAAACCCTAAATGTCTATTAAGTAAACCCTACAGGTTGCAATTATTGCGTTCTGTAGCCTCTGCATATCGGGTCGCATAAACCCTAATCCCTACATGCCAAGTCACGAAATCCTCTAGCCTCTACATATCCTTAGATCTCACAAACCCTATGAACTTTACATGCCAAGTTCCTAAACCCCACAGGTTGCAATTATTGCGTTCTGTAGCTTCTGCATACACGAGGGTCACAAACACTCTAAACCCGAATTGCTTAATCTTGCAACCCTATGGGTTGCAATTATTGCGTTCTATAGCCTGTGCATATTATAGGGTCACAAAAACCCTAAACCCGAACTGCCCAGTTTGTCTAGTTAGTAAACCCTGGAGGTTGCAATTATTGCGTTCTGTAGCCTCTGCATATAATAGGGTCACAAAAACCTTCAAACCGAACTTCACAGTTTGTTTAGTTAGTAAACCCTAGAGGTTGCAATTTTTGCGTTCTGTAGCCTTCGCAAATACTTCCATAGTTATTTTAGCGGGAGAGAATAGATTTTCGGCACGGGTAGTAACCGGGTAGTACCAAGTAAGTTCACCGGAAATGCCGCTCTCTTGGCATCGTGGTGCATTCGTATCGGCTTTGGTTTCTCTTCCTCTTTGCTTCTTTGTTCCTATCTATCTCGCTGGGATGCGTGCATCAACAGGTGCGCAGCACAAAGACGGAGGGGCGTCGGGGGAAGGGGTGGGTGGCCGCCCGTCCCGGCGGCCGGAGGTGGCGGTGGGGGGGGTACTGCAGTATTGGTATTCCTGGTATTTTAGTATTCTGACATCTGAAAGCCTCAAGTGGCGGCGTCGGGTCAAAGATTTTTTCGGCAGGCAGTGCGGCAGTGCTGTGAGTTGTGTGTGTGTGTGTGTGAGGAATCTTGATCACTCTGACTCTGACAACTGCTGTGGATCCTCAGGTAGCCTGATTTCAGACCTTTTCTAACACTATCGATGCATTGGGGACTGAAATCACAATGTCGCATAGAAACATGCCTTGGCAGAGCAGTGCTGGCTGAACAGATAGCCAGCCTGCGGGTCCGCCCCTTCTGCATGCAGCAAGGCTACACAAAAGACCTTCCCTACTAAGCCATGGTAGCAGGTTTGCTGTATCGGCCCCCCAGCTTGTGTTGGGGGACTGCTTCCATGGACAGGTGTAAGATGATTTATCGCTCACACCTGCCTGTCAAGGGGAGGCACAGTGTTGTGCTGTGTTGCAGTCCTTTGTGGTTCGACTGGTCCTGTGTCGCCCTTTCGTCATGCTTGGCTATAGTTGGCTTTGTTCTGTACTGCACTTGATTCTTGAACCTTGGCCCTTGACTTCCTGAAGTCCTGCTCATTGTCTTGCGCGGTCGCTTTTGGCTTGTTCTTGGTTTCAGTTTTGGCTCTACCAAGAGGCAAGCCTGCAAGGCAACCCAAAAACATCGGGCTTGCCTTCAAACCGTTGGCCGGGTTTGGAGCTCACACTCTTGGAACCATGGTGTCTGACAGAGCTTTTGGCCAACATGCTCCAGCCTTGGGAAGCAGACGACAGCAGGGCAATGTGCCAATGTGCCTGCTGGGTTCTGGGAAGGACACCATGGAGTACAGGGAGTGGATGTGGCGGTGGGGCGAGACCCGCATCTGTCCATATTACATGGGAGGCCTCTTGTGATCGATTGACTCGCTTGACTCGCTTGACTGTTTCGTTTCTTGGTGCCTTGACCGGCCCTGTGTCGCCTTTTTGTCAGTTATTGCCGGATACCGCCTTTGGGTTCCTGTGTGAATGTTTTTGTGAAACACAGTGTTTAATAAGAATGTGTGCATGGCACATTGTGGCATGAGATTGGGTTGCCCTTGCTGCATGTCGTTGTGTGCATCATGATGATGTACTTGCCATATGCTGACCCAGAGGATAATCCTTGTAGTATGCTTGATACATTTGATTTTCATGCTTTGCACTACAGTCATCTCGGTCGGTGCAAGTGTCGTCCTTGGAGCACTCTTCATATCTTCGCCTTGGGCCTGCCGTTTGAGTCCATCCTCTTTTCGTTCTCTTCTGTCATGGATAACCTTCTTGATGCCTTGGCCTTGGGCTCTGCATCTGGACCTTGGCCTTCGTTTGACACAGCATGGCGTTTGGCATGAGATTGGGTTGTGTTCCCATTGCCGCTTGTCTTGTGTTGTGGCATGACTTGCTGATTGCCACATGAATGCGAGCCAGCGGAACCTATGCTTACCCAGTGGAAAGGAGCCCCCGAGGGGGGTGTGGAAAATTTCACATGCAGGGTTGGCCGCCTGCAGGCGTGGTTCCATTCCCGCGGTGTTAAGGCCACGCCGACGTGGCCGATGATCGTTTTAACGATCTAGGCCCGGAGGTATCACAGTGGGGCACATGCGCCTAATGCGTCCACTGGCACCGACTCCTGCAAAAGCCTCGACCTGCCTGGCAGGCTTCCCGAAAGGGGGCTTTACTGGGTATGGTCTTGGCATAATGTCCGGGATGAGTTGGCTGGCGATGGGGAGGCCCTTTGTGATTGGCCGGTTGGGCTATCAAGAGCTTGAGCTTGGCATGAGTCGTGTGTCATGGAGTTGAGTGCATGTGAACCTCTAGCAAGAAATAATTGTAAATGTCGATCACAAGTGAAGGCACACGGAGCTGCATCTTACCCAAGCTCAGAAGCTGGCTGTCGACTAATGTCCGAAATGCCCTCGTCCTTGTTATCAGTGATGCCGGCATTGCCTCTTAACAACTAAACCCTAAACCCCAAGCCCTCAACCCTAAACCCTAAACCTTAACCCCCTAAACCCCTCAAGCTTTAAAACCCTTTGCCACAAAACCCCTAGGTCTTAAATCCCTAAACCCGAACTGCCTAGTTCGTAACCCCACAGGTTGCAATTATTGCGATCTGTCGCCTTTGCATATACTCGGGTCGCATAAACCTGAATCCCTACATGCCAGGTCAGGATATCCTGTAGCCTCTGCATATCCTTCGATCGCATAAACCCTATGAGCTTTACATGCCAAGTTCGTAAACCCCACAGGTTGCAATTATTGCGTTGTGTAGCCTCTGCATATACTCAGATCACACAAACCCTACACTCTGTTGATTTAAGTATATGCAGAGGCTACAGCATGCAATAATTGCAATCTCATGCGTTTATGTCCAGGTAGTAAAACCTCGAGGTTGCAATGATTGCATTCTGTAGCCTCTGCATAGTTATATCACATAAACCCTCTGAACCCTATATGCCCCGTTAGTATACCCCACAGGTTGCGATGACTGCGTTCTGTAGCCTTGGCAAAACAAATTTAGGTCACCTAAACCCTATAAACCCTCTGTGCGAAGTAAGAACAACTTACATGTTCCACTCATTCTTGCATTGTCAGCTTCCTCTAGGGTTTCTAAACTGAATCACATCATAGTGCAACGTGCCAAATTTTGTCAACAGCCAAGGCACATGGTGCTGCAGCGAATGCGGTTGCTCGTCGAGAATGTGAAAGAGATGGTTGCAGCTCGCATGCCAGACAACTCCTTGCAGATGCTGTTCACTGGCTTCAGGCTGCCATCTCCGCTTGGTGACGGCTTCAGAGATCTTGCCCGTCCAGAACTGGCAGATTTGAGAAAGAAAACGAAAGACAGCCTGGAAACAATTTTGCAGAAGGGCAAGCTGGACGTGAAGCAGTGCATGAAGGACCTACTGAAGATGCTGCCATGTGCGGAGGCGTACCACACTCGGCTGGGTTTGGGCGTCCGTCAGAGCTGGGCTAGAGCTTCTGTTGATTTCAAGGAGTTGAAGAATGGCCGTGCTGCTGTCAGTCTGTACTTAAGCTTTCAGCCTGCAGAGGGTGATGTGGAGCGGCGATTGAAAGATGTCAGTTGGCACGAGCAGAAAAATCGGGCTCATATGCTGGGCAGCACGATGGAATCGCTTGTGCTGGCTATGCAAGCACCCTCCGCCACTCAGATCTCGAAGACCCAGGGCGGGCAGATTATTGCAACTACGCCGTATTTGCCCAATGTCCTCCGAAGATATGTGCAACTCTATGGGGCACCCAGGAAGTTGAAGAGGGCAGCAAAAGTCCGTCGAGATTCGGGGCAGAAAAGAAAGCACGAGGATGGGGGCCCTGATGGAAGTGAGGCTGGCTTTTTGCGCCGCCGACATGCAGCTGTTGAGAACATCAGTGCAGCCAGTAGCTCCGAGCGTCAGTCATGGCTTGCAGAAGCTGGGGTGCCAGCTCCTGACCCAGAGGTGCTTGAAGACTGAGAAGTTTGTGAAAGTCCGTCAAAAGATTGATAAGGTTGCGGCTAGAACCCAGGCCAAGATCAATGCACAGCCTGACGACAAGAAGCAACCTGACAAGGTCAATCTGTGCCACTGGGCACCCAAGCCTCGTTCCATGGAAGCCGTCCGTCCAGGTTTTGCCTTGGTGCCAGAGCTCTATGACTTCTCTTCTGAGTTGGTGCGGAAACTTCAGTTTCATGGCTTTCAGGTGCCTTGGCAGTGACTTTGAAATCATGCTTCTGTAGTGGGGATTGCAGTTGAAACTTTGTGTTTCAGGCCTTGCTTTTATTTAAAATTTTGAACTTTGGGGTTGAGTCTTTCAGAAAGGGAATCGAACCAGCATTGAGTTGAAAGCTTAAAAAGCAACGGCACCTTGCAGGTCGTGCTGTCCGGTGGCGGTGGGAGTGGTTTGTTCACCTTCATGGACAAGGCCTTCAAGCACTCATCTGCTGGGCATGTTGTTGTGGTGCCAGATTTGCGGAGTGACTTTCGAGCTGCTGGGGCCATTGTGGCACGTCTTGCTGGCGCCTTTTTGACGTCCGTCCCGAGCATGCTGGCACAGAAACCCTCAGGTGTGCAGTTTGTCACGGATGTCACAAAAAAGAAGCGTCAGGTGTATGTGGATGCAGAAGATGACCGTTACCCTTTGTTGCATGGCGTTTTGGTCCGAGCAGTCAGGCTGCCAGGCTCCAAGCTGGAAGTTCTGGCGTTACCGAAGAAGCTTGTGGCCGTGTACAAAGCTCACAAGGACAAGTTTGGTGCTCGATCCAAGCCGTGGCTGCATGCTCGTATGCCTTTGCCCGTCAATGAGGAGGAGGCTGGAAAGATGAGGCTGAAGCAGCCATACTTGGCATGCGACTTCAAGACTTTTGTGGAGTTCTTGGAAGGAGGTGTGGAGAGAGAGGCTGTGTGTCCGTCATTCGGCTCCAACAACCGCAGCTGAGAAGATGCAAAAAGAATCCGTCTGTCCTAGCAGCACGTTTTGCAAGCCTGCCCCCGTTCTGTCACAGGCACAGTCGCATATTCTCTGAAGTCATTCCAAGCTTGTGCCCAGGCCAGTGCCCAGCTGGATCTGAGAGCAGGTCTGGATTTGCGTTGCAGCGGAAAAAGAGAAGCTTTGCAAATTTGCAAGGAGGCAACCATTGTGCTTCCTGGGTGCAGGCCTCTTCAGTCAGGGGCCCCCTAGCTCCCTAAGCCCTGAGCCTATAAAATAAACCCACAAACTCTAGGGCCCAGCGAAAGAGCAAACACAAGAGCCCAGAGAGACAGCCAGTTTACCTATATACCCTCCAAAGCCTAAACCCGAAACCCTAAGCCCTACCTAGAGGCGCATACCCTACCCCTTTTTTGGATACCTAGATATATGGTTAGGATCTGTTGTATGAAAATTAGGTACCTTAAAAAGGGGGTAGGGTATGAGCCTCTAGGTAAACCCAATACCCTGAAGCCCTACACCCTAAACCCTAAACTGAAACCCTAAGTTAAGCCCTAAACTCAGTACCCTGACACCCTAAACCCGAAACCCCTAACCCCTAAACCCCGAAAACCCTAAAACCTAAACCCTAAACCCAATACCCTGAAACCCTAAACCCTTGAGGACATGCTCACTGATCCCCTGGCCACGGATCTGGAGATGAAAGGGCCCCAGGTCTTCTTTTAGGGTTTAGGGTCTGGGGGTTTAGGGTTTAGGGTGTCTTGCTCAGGAATGTTTACTCTAAGTATACTCGAGTGACCGCCGTAACAAGGATCTATCGTAAACTCTTTGGTTTCCTTATTCTGCTGACGTAGCGTTTCTGAACAAGAATCCAGAGCATGGAGAAATCGTATCAGCAAGCGTATCCCCTTATGGGGAGAAATACCCTCGTGCGAAGATACTATCAGCTGCTATCACGACTTCTGCATCGCAACTAGAACCAGAGTTCCTTTTCTTTCCTGGTGGCACTTTCCCCTGTTAAAGCCAAGGCCTCATTCCTACATCCCCATAATACCCCCTTATAGTAACCCTAATAGGACCCGTTTTAGGAACCCTTTAAAGGAACCCTACCCTACTGATAGTTGCTGTAGTGATACCAGAAGGTACTCCGGCATCGGCGCTGTTTGCAAACATTCCCCAATCCACGGGAGACAGGGTTTAGGGTTTAGGGTTTAGGCGAGACCTTGCACTTTTGATATAAACTTTTGTTTACAAGCGCTCGACTCTTACTTGTCATCTCCAATTATCTTCGGATGGGTAAGGCGCGGTAAAAACACCAGCTTCAATATTCTATATCTGTCAATAAACACATCAATCTACATATGTATTTCTATATACATGTGTAAAGACCCCCTATCATCAACCGAATCCGACGAATTCCGAACGTAACATCCGACCCTATCAGCACCGAATCGTAAACTTTCCAAACCCACGCTTTGGGATGCGATTTAAGGTTGTTGGTTTAGGATTTGTTTCTTATGGGATTTCTGGATTCATGGATATTGCGTCAGGGTTGAGGTTTTAGTACTTCGATTTCCAGAGTTACCGCATACGGCACATGGGAGTTACTGGATTGTCATTCTCCCCTAGACCCTCAACCCGTACAGATACCTGGCAGGGAGAGAAGGTGCGATTAGACAATAAACAAAGAATGCAATAACACAAAGCTGCAGTTTCTTTTAAACCCGTGACAACCCAGAGCTCGAGTTTATCTACGTTCTCCACTGCAGTTCCTTTATTTTTCCTTTCTTTGGTTGGATTCACCGTACGATGCTTAGGACTTATAAAGGACCATCTGATAAAAGAAAAGGCTACCAAAAGAAGAAGGAACTGACTGGAGATTTTAGGTAGAAGTTAGTGTCAGGGTTTAGGGTTTAAGGATGGTTTACGATGAGCTCGGCTGAGAAATCAGGCAAGCACCCACTATCAAGACAGTGTAAATTATATGTTTTCAAAGTCTCTCAGTTTACTAACCACAGTTGCTTACGAACGACTTCAACAACTCCCGGTAGCCCTTGAACTGGGCGAAGTTGGAGCGCGGCAGTGTCAGCCCGTCGGAGCTCGTGCAGCGCAAAACCGGAGGGGCAGAAGCCGGTGTGTCCACGTGATTGGCAAACGCAAGAGCCAGGCCACGACCCCAAAAGGTTGGTGGAAGCATTCGGTCGCACAATAGTCGTAAAAGGTTGCAGACGCTTGCCAACAGTTGTCAACAATCCCAAAGGGTTCAAGTACTATACAGTAGGCTCTGAGTAGTCATGTGGGCCCTCCAAGGTATATACTATACTGTTACTTGGACCCTTTGTGACTTGTTTCCTTGCAAATGGGCGTCAACCCCAACCCCCGACCCCCGGCACCTTCAAACTAGAACCATGATGCTGCGCAGTTGGGATTCTCCTGACAGCTTCAAACCCAAAATCGCGAGAGTTGCACACCCTTTACTAAGCCCTAAACCCTGAACCTTCAACCGTAAATCCCTATGTCCTAATCCCTACACCCTGAACCCATCTGCCCCAAACCCTTAAGCCCTCAGCCTTTGACATCCAGGCCCATCCTCGTCGAGCCCGTAGAGTGCGAGGACGTGATTGTCCCGCCTTTGAATCTGCAGGTGCTAGGGCTTCAGGGTTTAGGCTTTAGGGTTTATGGCTTTAGGATTTTCAGAGCTTTTAGAGTTTAGGGCTTTAACGCTTTAAGGCTTTAAGGTTTAGGGTCAGGGTTTGTGCAGCAGCCTCAACCACAAAGGAAGGGGCGTAGGCTTGAGATACAAGGCTCAATATAGAGGTCGGAATCATCCGTATTTGGTCATGTTTACTTGCAATCCCCATAGAACCATACCATGTTGTACCCCAGCCCTTAAACTAAACCCCAAACCCAAAACCGCAGTAATTTTAAGCGAGTCGGTGCAAAAATAGAAGTATACAACAATATACCCCAAACCCTAGTTTCATCATTTAGCGGCCTATATAGTATATGCATCGCTATCACACGCTAAAACTGGAAACCCTAAACCCGAAACCTCAGGTTAGGCCTCAGAGCTAACTGAAGCCGACTCGTCTGCGAAGGAGTCCGGTTGTTCGGTACGAACCTTACATGAGCACGTGTTTTGTTATGTGTGTGTATATATATATATATATATAGATATGCATGTATATACACATGAAAAGGTTATGATCGCATGTCATGATTTTCTTCGTAAAATGATAATATGGGTGCCCTTTGCTGCTTCTCGGCTTGAATAGATTTATCCTCAAGTACGTAAAAGAACAGTCAGTCCTAAACCCGAAACCCCAAACTTTTATTATTTTCGGGTGCCTTTATTGTCCCTTGTACGGTGGGGGGTATTCATCAGTGATCTACATTCTGCTTTCTAGTTGGTTGCTGACCGTTGCGCTTCGGTTTGCAGAGGTGAACACTTTAAATCTTGAAGGGCCTTAATCGGATCACTCGGGTACTGCCCCCCATTCAGTAACAGTTGGATAATATTCATAATATAGCCATATTAGGACCTTAATAGTAGGCCTGTTATAGAGTGTTACTGTGTGGGGGCAGTACCCAACGGATCCCTATGATAATTTCTTTCAGGTAGTGGGCGGGAGTGACGAATTCGGGATCTATATTAAATGTCACGACTCGCAGGGATTCTAATTACACTGAATCCCTGCAGCCCCCTACATCAAAGATCTTAAACCCTGACCCTAACGAGGGAGCTGGACTCGCAGCGACTAGTGTTCTTTGTTGCAGATCCGCAATCCTGGGAGTATATTGTTTCATTCGTCGTCCCGTAGTCGTAGTCTAGTAGTAGAAATTGGAGTCGTCGCTGTAGTGATTGATGATTACCCCCAAGGGTCCACAAGATCCAACAACAGGGTACTCGGTTTTAGGATAGTAGTTATGTAGGTTAGGATTTTGGAGAGTGTATGATTATTGAGTACTTGCACCCTTGGGGATACTGAGAATGCAGCCGGTGCTGGGCTCGAGCCACCGGCGCAGCAGAAGGCAGGCATCGTTTGTCCTGCGCGGCAGAGACTGCAATGCCTCGACCCAAGCGGCCGGGGAATGGGAAATGAGCATCAAGGGTTGAAGATTTCCTAAGCCCTAAACTTATATAGGTCGGTGGTCTGTTTAACCCTAAACCCCAGACCGTAGGTTTGTGGAGTTTGGGGCTGTTCAGGGCTCAGGGGGTTCTGAAGTCTTTCCTAGTAGTAGAGTAGGTAACCTTTAACTTTTTGTTGGGTAGTATAGTCCCTATAGTAATCCCTATATAACCAAAAAGGTCAACCTTTAGTTCCCCATGATACCCTAAACCCTAAACCCTAAACTCCTAAACCCTAAACCCTAAACTCCTAAACCCTAAACCCCTAAACCCTAAACCCTGACTAAGTAGGCTTTTCGCTGGGGGCTGTAGGAGTTTTTTTCTTTAGTTTGGAAGCCTCTGGAGTCTACTTAAAGGATCATGGGACTTACTGTTGATGATAGAAATCCTGCATGACCCATAATAAGGAATAATACCATAATTCCCATACTTTAGGGTCCTTAACATTGGGGTCCTTAAGGGGTTCCTTAAAGGGAATCTAGAGGGGTACTATAAGGGTTTAGGGTTTAGGGTTTAGGGTCTACTTAAAGGATCATGGGACTTAGTAATTGGGATTATAAGTAAGGTAACTACAGCTATAGTTGGTTATATCCCCAATACTTAAGGTACTTATAACCCTACTTACTAAGTCCCCTGCAAGTAGGGCTTTGGGCTTTTTGAGGGGGTGTAGGATTTGGGATTAGGTAGAGTTTCTTCTAGGGTCTAGGGTGTCTGGGAATAGGATTGGGAGTTTAGGGTTTTACCCTACTGTAAGCCCTAAACCCTAAACCCCTTATAAACCCTAAACCCCTTATAAACCCTAAACCCCTAAACCCTAAACGACTGTAAGCCCTAGACCCGGGCCGTTTAGGGCTTCAGTTTCAGGACTTTTGCCGGCAGT